GTCTCTATTATTTTGCTGATATGCTGTGATACTTGATGTGGGCTGTGTCCCCTTATCGATGATGGTGAGGCTAGGGAGGTTCATGACTGAGTGAGGCTGAGGGACTGTGGTGAGATATTTGATATGATATGATATGATAGCACGTGAGTTATCCGTGCGGATCCAGGTATTGATACCATAGCGCGTGACCTATCCGCATAGCACGTGAGTTGACCGTGCGGATCCAGAGATTGATATTATGGCACGTGAGTTGTCCGTGCAGCACGTGAGTTGTCCGTTCTTAGCGCTTGGGCTTTGGGAGCCCCTCCGGAGTCTGTACACCCCCAGTGAGCGCATGTACCTATTGAGTGTTGAGTGTGATGAGTGCTGAGTGGTGAGTGATGGAGTGACATTGCTGCGAGGTTTTATTTACTTTGCTGTTGCTGCATTTTACCTGTAAATTTCTTTGTACCATTTACTGAGTTATGGGATTTACTTGTTTATTTCAGTGTATTTTAAATTGTGAAAAGAGGTAATTGCATTGTTTTACTTAGCTCGTCACTACTGCTCAGTTCCTTAGTTATTTCTGTTACTACTAAGTCAGTTGTACTCATACTACACCCTGCACTTTATGTGCAGATCCAGGTGAGTTAGAGCACGGCGATCGTTGAGTTCAAGCCGGCTATTTTTGGAGACTGCAAGGTAGCTGCTAGCGTCCGCAGGGCCTTGTTACTCCTTCTGTATTTCTTCTTTGGATTGTATTGACAGTTAGACAGTTATATCTCTTAGTTCATAGTTTTAGACGCTCATGACTTAGTGACACCCCGATGTTTGGGGCTCGTTTCCGTAATTTTCTATATTATATTTAGAGTTGGTTTAGTTTATGGAAAGTTAAATGTTGAAATATTTTATTAATTTCTTATAATCGGTTTAGTAGTAATATTTTGGAAAGTAGGCTTGCCTTGTAACACGATAGGCATCATCACGACCATGGTTATATTTTAGGTCGTGGCAACTCAAAAGTTCATAATTTAACTATTGGGGATAATTACCCAACCCAAACCGGAAGATTCCTAAAATTCTCCCCCGGACCCACGTGCCCGGATTCTAGAAATTTTTGAAGATAAATGTTACCCATAACCTCACGAACTCAAATATATAATTTTTACCCAATTCTATAATTATTTACGTGGTTAAATCTCATTTTTATCAAAACCTAGGTTTTTCAGCTAAACCCTTAATTTTTACAATTTTACATGTTAAAATCTACCCATAATCTATGTATTTAACCTACATTGGATAGAAATTACTTACCTCCAATCATTAGATGAAAACCCCTCTTCAAAGAGCTCAAAAATCGTCCAAGAGATGAAAGAAATGAGCCGAAATAGCCTAAGTCCTTGACTTAAATGAATCTCAGTGCCCAACGGTTTTCGCACCTGCGATGCCCCTGTCGCACCTGCGGCTCGACAAAACCTCGCAAATGCGAACCACGCCCAGATCTTCCTCGATCGCTTATGCGGGCAAAGCCTCGCTTCTGCGGCACACGCGTCGCACCTGCGACCCTCCCCGCTTCTGCGATCCACTGCCTCGCACCTGCGCCTTTGCAGGTGCGGTTCCTGCTTCGCTTTTGCTGCCATCGGGCAGTCCATACCAGACCGCTTCTGCGGTCAGAAGCTCGCACCTGCGGCCAAAATCTCGTAGGTGCGGATGCACTATAACTGGTGCATCAACAGTTCTTTCAAGGTTGATCCGCACATCGTCCTAATAGCACCAGAGGCCCCCGGGGCTTCGCCCAAACATACCAACAAGTTCGTAAACACAAAACGGACCTGCTCGACCTCTCGAAACACGGAAAACAACATCAAAACTAAAAATCACAACCCAAAACCAAATAGAATCAACTTATGAACTTCAAGTTCTTCCAACTTACTCCGAGCCGAATCATACTTAAACTACTCGGAATGACACCAAATTTTGCGTGCAAGTCTTAAATCACCATATAGAGCTATTCCCAGATTCAGAATCCCAAACAAACCTCGATAACACCAAAACTTACTTCGAGCCAAATTTAAAGAACTTTAAAACCTTCAATGCGCTAACTTTCAACTTTATGCGCCGAAACGCTCCCGGATCATCCAAAACTCGATCCGAACATACGCCCAAGTCTAAAATTATCATACAAACCTATTGGGATCGTCAAATTTCGGTTTCAAGGTCGTTTACTATAAATGTTGAACCAAGTCAAACTTAACCTTTTTAAGCCAACAATAAAGAACTAAGTGATTCCGATTTCAACCCGACCCCTTCAAAACCCGAACTAACCATCCCCTCAAGTCATAAAATAGTAAAAGCACATATGAGGAGTCTTATTTCGGGGAGGGGGGAGATCTAGAACGCAAAACGACTGGTCGGGTCGTTACACCTTTGATCTTTCAAACTGTAGTATTGTTCTGGTATGAGTAAAAGAAACTAAAAAAACTGCAAGAAACGAGACAAGATAGGGTCGGGAAGGAGACGCTACTAAAAAATCTAGTTTTAGCGACGGCCAAATTCTGTAGCTAAACAGAAAAATTCATCGCTAATCTTATTTAGCGACGGATTAGCAACAGATTATCAAGAAATTCTGCTAGCTACGGACGGTTTAGCGATAGATTAGCGACAACGTTTGTAGCTAATTCCAATATATTTTGTAGTGAGAGTTGAGGATTGTGTATTTGTCCGTGTTGGGTTCTTTTGTATTGTACTTTGTGTGTTTGTCCGTGTTGGGTTCTTTTGTATTGTACTTTACACATTTACTCTTATATGACCACCCTTCGATCAGGAAATTTTGACAAGTTTCCTATACATTATAGCGCTAGACAGTTTCGGGGGTACGCTTTCCTCCATCCTTTTAGCTTATAATAATGATCATTTACTTTATTAGTAGGTCTTTCAAATATTTAGCTATACCTGAAATCAATCCTTCTGAACAGTTCATCTTACATATGTTGTATTAATCTGAAGGAAAAAAAATGTCATCGAACGGTTCTTGATTATCATGATGTATTTGTTTTTTTTCCAGGAAACGTGCTTGAGTTTCACTTCTGTAGATAATTTTACAGATTTGAATAAGAAAGCGGTAAGGAACAACGGAAGAAAATAATTGTAGTGCTCATAATTTACATGGGATCAACACCGATGCCTGTAGCACTTACTGGAATACTAATAGTGATTTTAGAATTCCACTCCGAATATGAAATTTTATGGTGAAGTCTATAAAATGTTTGTTTTATAAGATGCAATGTATATGGTATATATTTTATGTCGTACAATATTTCAGTTCCTTAATTACCAGGATTACATATAACAGCGCAGCATTTAAATTTTGATAAAATAAATACTATGAATGAATGTAAGTTATTCTTTAAGTTGTGCCCTTGACACGAAGTTAGGACCACAATGCGAGGCTTGTGAGTGCATAAATAAATTGAACAAATACTAGCTGGTCTGAATTGTGCTGGATCGAGCCCTCGACTTGAAAGCCATCCATTGACATACTTTAAGGGTATTTATTCATATTAATTACGTATCTTTATGAAGGTGAAATAATCCAAATATTGCCACTATAAACACTACATAAAGGCCTGATACTTTATGTGATTCTTATTTATACGGAACACAACAATGGCAACCAAACACGATTGGTTATATTTAGTAAAAATAGCACGGTATAACCAGTTTTCGGACTGGTCAATCAAAATTAGCCAGCGTTTACCAAGTCAATGAAAAATAACCACCGTTTTGCTGCAATAGAGACCGGTCCAGCATAATATACTGGAGTTCGGTGCACTTATGTATGAACTCCAACATATTATGCTGGACCGGTATACTTTGCTGGCTCCAGTATAATATACTGGAGACTGGAGCACTGGTGCTCCAAACTAGAGTATATTATACTGGACCAATATACTTGCTGGAACTCCAGTATATTATGCTGGAGTTCTAGTGTATTTATACTGGAACTCCATCATATTATGCTGGAGTTCCAGCATACTATCTTGGAACTCCAGTATAATATGCTGGAGTTCAAGTATACTTATGCTGGAACTCCAGCATAATATACTGGAGTATTTTCCGGGTTTTGAACAGTGTTTTCGCTCAGATTTATCTTTACATAAAAAGTAGCTAAATTTCGATTACTTTTGAAATTGGCTATTTTTGAACGACCAGTTGTAAATTTGGCTATTTTTAAATTTCTCCCTTATATTTATGTCCTCGTTTGTGAAACAAATTACCCATAAGAAGAAAACAAGGATTGCTTCAATTTTAACAAGGTTGATTCACTGATCCGCAAATCACATGTTTCTCTTTTTATTTTTTTGTGTATTACAATATTTTATTTTTGAGCTTTATACTTTAAACAAGAGATATGCGTATAACACACGTGTTTAGAAACTAGTTAAAAGAAAACCTAAAGATGCATTTTGAAGATGAAACGCCAAAGAAGAAGCATGAGTCCTATTAGGAACGGTTAGATTAACGGTGTCTTTGATAGTGAATTTTAGGATGATTATTGTAGTAGTGAACAGGTGCAATTATATAGAGAATTAATGAGGTGACTTTTGGATTTTTTTAAATAGCATATAAATCAAGAAAAGGGGTAAAAAGCATAAAAATTGAGGTAAAAGATAAATAAACAATCTGGCTTTAGAGAGTGCCACGTCACCTCTCTTGGGCACTCAATTATATAGATATATATAAAATATAGATTTTTTTAAGTATTATTTTTCGGAGTATCAGCTTTTTATTATTCCTAATTCCTCCTGAATCCCTTCCATTTCTCCGTTCCAGCGTCCGGTTCCTTACAGTTCTGATCGACCATGCTCTCAATTGAGTCATGGAATTCGGATACTCACTCTCAATGTTACCCGGTTATACTCTATCTTCTGTTTCAACCGTGGCGCGCGCGAGCTAGTTTTCTGTGTATATATATATATATATATATATATATATATATATATATATATAGCGGTGTAGATTAGAATGCAAATCAGGTGTCAATTCCTCACCAACGCTTTCCCAATCTCTACTTTATGTTGAGTCGTCATTTTCCACTACTCTCTCTTTTCAAAATGTTGAACAAGAACTGGGCTTTAATGGCGGTTTTCTCATTCCTGGTTGCCTGCATTGTGACAACAATGGTAGCACAGGGCAGAGATTGCCCCAGGAAGTGCCTCTCGTCTTAGTATGCCCCTCAGATATGGTTATTATGATGAGAAATGTGAGGATATTGAGAAGATTGTGTGGTCAATGATGCAGAGAATTGTCCAGCTGCAACACAACGCCCCAGCACAACTCTTACGCCTTCTCTTCCTTGATTGTTTCATTCAGGTACTTGTCCTCTCCATTTTCTTAATCCTTGATTAAAATAAATTCAATTTCTTATTTTTTGTTGTTTCATTCCCAAATTTTAGGTGCTCTTGTATATGTAATGGTGTTCTTCTAATCGTACTCTTTATTTCTATTTTCTTGTACGTATTCAGTTTGCTGATTCTTGATATGTACATATTATGAGTTCTTTTTGCATAATAGTCTCTTTATTCATTTATTGTGGGTTTTCTGAGTTTTCTAGGATTATAGTATTTTTCGTTTAATTTTTCTCATCACTCTTGAAGCATATTTATCTGTTTATGAATCTGTTGTGCGCACACCTATGTATAATCTTTCTTTTTGAAAATTTAAGCAAGATTAAATCAAGAAAAGGACTTAGAACCCTTATAAATGAAGCAGAGAAAGGGGATTGAAGAGGCTTGCGATCGTATTATTGGTGACTGACGTCTTACACTGTGTTCTCTACTGTTTCATTGATGTTGTTTCACTTTAATTTTTTGGGAGCAAGTCTAATTCTCTCTATCAAGAAAATGACGAAAATTGATCTATTTTGTGTCTTTCCTTCTGTTATTTGATGCAGTTCTTAGCTTATTTTGGTTGTACAATCTCAAATGCATGTGTCCGTGATCTGAACAAAATATTCTAAGTACTTCCAGCCGTTTGTCACTATTATTCCTCTGTTGGACTGTTACACCCCATGCATATATCAAATGTGACTTCATTTTCTGTATTTCTCTTATACATTTGTAAGACATTTCTTTTATGATTAGCCTTGTGATGTTTGTTGTGTTGCATTGTGTGAATTTTTTGTGCCTTGTCTTAGTCTTTTGTGTTAAGGTCCTTAACTTCTCTATCCTCGCTGTTTTCAATAGTGTGTTTTTACTTATTTCAAATTACTTTTTCTATGTTGATTTTTCTATACTGGTTTTATCCATGAATATGTGTATTAACAAATACTTCTATGGATTTTGTATTTAATCATATTTGGCATTGGTTCCTAATGCACGCACAATGCACTTGTATTTCTTTGATTTACTTGTGGATGCTTCTTTCTTTATAATTAGCCGCTTGATCTTGATTTGTACATTGTGCACTTGTGATTCTTCATATGTTGTAATGTGTCTTTGTGCCTTGTGTTCGTCGTGTGATTCAAGATGGAGGTCTTAACTGATCCATTTTGGTTTATTGTTTTCTCAGTTTAGAGTGCGTATAATAAAGATAAAAATAAGTACTGTTATCTTCACTAATTTCAGCAGAATCACTTATTCAGTTTTGAACTTTTTCATGATGTATATTTACCTGTAGTTATATTCCTCTATGTGTGTACCCACACCCCTTTTCCCTCTTTTCCTATGGGTAATAAAAAGAGGATGAGATGGCATTACTTCTGAAAGGGTAGAGGTGAGCTTTTAGAGTCCTAAGGGAGTCAAGAAATGATATTAAGTAAAGAAGGATGCAGATTGTGAAAACAATTCCAGACAACGACTCTTTTGTTTTTGATTTTTTGATAAGATATAGTCTCCAGACAATGAATTTTCTGTCTTATTGATTTTTCAGGGTTGTGATGCATCTGTTCTGCTAGCTGACAGTAATGAGAATGGAACTGTTGAACGTGAGGCCTTTCCGAACAGGACATTGAAAGGCTTCGATATCATGATAAAGGATGAGATTGAGAAGGAATGCCCTGGGACTGTCTCTTGCTCTGATATCCTTGTCCTTGCAACAAGAGATGGCATCGTTCTGGTATGAATTTGCCCCATATCCTTTGTTTCTTATAGTCCAGCACCTTAAGTTTCTTTGCTGATTTCCTTATTCTTACTTTTAATTGTACTTACTTTCTATTTTACATGGATCTGTTTCGTGATCCTGTTCAAGGTGCAACTGGAGAGTAGAATCTGGCAAGTGAAATGGATGCAACTCATGCACTAGCACTACTAGAAAATGGTCCTATTGGAATAGTTATTTAGTAACGGTTATGCAACTGTTTCGTGATCCTGTTTCTGATTTGATGAGAGGGAAACAGTGGCATTACTTGGTATATCTTCTAATCCTACTACTATAATTTTCATATGCTGGAGTCTGCATCCTCTTTTTAACACATGTACATCTTTTGAAATTTCTCTTCTTTTTTTTCTTCATCATCTGAAGGAGGACACAACATCGGGAAGATTGGTTGCGAATTCATTCGGCCAAGGCTCAGTAATTTTATGGGGACAGGTTTACCTGATCCAACAATTCCTTCTGACTTCCTTGAAGAGTTGATGCGGAAGTGTCCAGACGATAATAGCACCCATCAACAATATGTTCAACGAACATATAGCTAGGGGTCTGAGTGAGTCTGCTATGTCAATACTCCCAGGGACTGTCAGTACTTTCCTCGTTTGGAACATCATTTGATAATCACTACTACAAGAATTTGATGAGAGGACGAGGGGTGCTGTTTGCTGATCAACAGTTGATGGCTAATGAAAAGACAGCAGCGGTGGTGATGGATTATGCTTTGGATGAGGGGACTATATTTAGGACAGAGTTTGCTCATGCCATGGATAAATTGTCAAATATTGGTGTTCTTACTGGATCCCAAGGAGAAGTTCGGCACAGTTGCTCCCATATCAATTCTGATCAGTGAGAACCACCTGGGAGGAGTAGACTAGTTATTCATGACTTTTCCTAGCGTCTGATTTAGGTGGCATTCAGTGGAATTTTCTCTTTGGATACTAATGGATCTAGTTAAGATTACTGATTGACTTAACAAAGTTTCTCATGCTTGCAGCTTTACGTACAAACATGTGCCCCAATATAATATTCTGCTTTTAAGGTACGGATACTACTATTATATATGTAGTTTTATCTTATATCATCGTGCTGCAGGAAATAGGGTTCAAATCAAGAAGAAATTCAAGATTTTATCAAGAATTTTTGAATTTCTGGAAACATTGCTGGGCGAGTATCACCATTATCTGTTGTGGAAAAATAATTGTAATATTATGGAAACCCTTTCTTTTCCCTGAAGTAGTTCCGAGGCAAATATATACAGAAAAATCGAACCAGTTCGTTCATGCTATTAAATCCTAAAATCATGCCGCACATTGAAAAAGATAAAAAGAAAGGAAGGTTTATTTCTTGAAGATGTTAATATCATGCATAAACAAGAGAACCATATACAGAAGGATATAACCATGGAAACTATAGATATCATCATAAACAAAAGATTATCAAAGATTTCGTTTCTCTTAATTTCTTAGTTAGTCGGCGAATATACTACAACAACTAACAACCCAGTGGGGTAATCGGCGAATATGAAGCATGGAATTAAAATAACTCTAGTTGTGTGGATCAAAGAAAGATTTTTAAGACAACATAGATGAAACTACATAATATATTTAGAATGAGCAGAGTTTGTTTTGCAAACAAGAACAGAAAGAAGGTAAAAACCAGACCTATTACTCCTTTGTTCTAAGCAAGCTGTTCATTCACTGATCGAAATCATATCTGAGAGGTACGGGATCGGGTTGTAGACTGATCATCGGTAATAATTAATAACCATCTATGTCTCGGTCCCGTATGCCCCTCCGATATAGCTTCAAACAATGAACTTGTTCTTCCTTTTCTCTCTAGGCAAACTCCGCTAATTAATATACAGAATACAAAGAAGGAATTAAAGAAAGACTTTATAAACTGATAGTTATCAAAATACTTAAAAATGAGTTAAAATATCATGGTATAGCCAGTTTTCACACTGGTCAATGAAAAATAGCCAGCGTTTATCAAGTCAATGAAAAATAGCCACTATTTTGCTGCAACAGGGACCGGTCCACTATAATATACGGGAGTTCTGGTGCATTTGTGTACGAACCGGTATACTTTGCTAATTCCTGTAAAATTTGCGGGAGACTGGAGCACCAGTGCTCCAAACTCCAGTATATTATACTGGACAATTATACTTGCTGGAACTCCCGTAAAATTTGCCGGAGTTCCAGCATAATTATGCTTGAACTCCGGTAAAATTTGCGGAAGTTCCAGCATAGTTATCCTGGAACTCCCGTAAAATTTCGGGAGTTCAAGCATACTTATGCTGGAACTCCCGTAAAATTTGCGGGCGTATTTTTCCAGATTTTGAACAGTGTTTTCGCTCAGATTTAAAGTGGCTAAATTTCGATGACTTTTGAAACTTGGCTATTTTTCAACGACCAGTGGTAAATCTGGTTATTTTTGAATTTCTCCCTAAAAAAGACTTTATAAACTGATAGTTAACAAAATACTTAAAATTCGTGTAAAGGAATTTTATACGACTAGTGGGCTTTTCACTGATTATAATTCATAGCAAGTTATTTTTTCTTTTTACAGATTACTACATAAGAAGTAGTTGGTCTAGTGTAATTCATAATTTGAAGGGGAAAATTGTTCAAGTTTAGTTGAAGGTGTCTTTTTTTTTTTTTGGTGGCCCAACATAAAAGAATCTCAAACAAATTAAAGGGGTTTTGACACAGTTACCCACAAAAACAAAACTATTTACCCTTGTCTACCCATTTGTTTTTCTATCCATAAATTAATTACATTTCCTACCCATAGTAGGTTTTGTGGGGAATTTTCTCTTTATTCTCCAGTTCTTTTTTATTTCTATGCTTCTTTTCTTTCTTTTTCTTTTCTCCTTTTCTTTTTTCTTGTTTTCTTCTTATTTTTTTTCTTTTTTCCTATTCTAATTTCATTTAACTTCTTTTTTTTATATTCTTTTTCTCTTCATAATCTAATTTCATTTACTATTTTCAGTATTTTTTATTATTCTTTTTTTTTTATATTATTACTAAAGAAAAATCAAATTACGTACCAATTAAATGTAGCTAATACAACCATAAAAATATTAACTAACATTTGATACCAGTATAGTATATAGTTATACCAACAGGGTATACAATTGTACGCAAAGAGTTAAAAAAAGTTTAATTCAATTATTAAACTGAAATAATATCAGTTGTCAATAAAAATTTTAAAAAAATCTAAAAGGATCTAATTGTAAGAGTATACCGTTACATTATATAGCATACTATTGCATTTTCAATTTGCCGCTCACGCTAAGTAAAAGCTTAAAACAAATTAAAAGGGAAAAGGCAAGTGAATTTACGGGTAATAAGTATACTATTATAGTATATTGTATACTATTACAGCATATTGTTACAATATCTTGCATATTATTACAGTATACCATAACAATATATTTGTATACTTTAATGGTATACTGTTGTAGTATAACTATATACTCCTATATTATATTAGTATACTGTAGCGGTATACTGTTAGGTATCAGTGTTCTTCTTCGATTATTACTGTAGTCGTGTTCTTCTTCGATTTTCAACTGAAATTTTCGATCTCAATCACCTCAAATCAGCTCCAAGTCTCGACCAAACTGACTCAACATTTAGTTACAGTTGCCAATCGATATTTTAATCACGCTAGTCAAAATCTAATCAAACAATTACAAACTCGACAAATGCAATTTATGATTTTCAAGTTTCAAGGTCTTTCAATGGTTGATCTAATTTTTCTTACAATAAATCACTATGAGCTTCTCAAAAGATATTAGAAATAATTATTTGTAACACTAAACGTTCAAATTCTGCTTCGTTGCAGGTACTAATTGTTTCGGTTTTGAAAAATTTGCTAATTACTTTTAATATTAATCATTTAATACTCAATTACTAAATTGTTAGAGTTCTACATTCTTTTTGTTAGTTGCATTTGATTTTTTTTAATTATCACCGATAAATTAAAATAAAAAATCAGCATAGCTACTAAGTACAGAGAAAGCCTACTTTGAAACTTTTTTATAAAAGAACAATGAGGACATTAACGTTTGGAACCAAATATAAGCTTCGGCCAGAAAGGAAAAAAAGAGAAAAGGAGAAGAAAAAGATGAGGATAAGTGTAGGGCAGTTGTAGTAGATGAATTATGCGGGTAAATACTTTTGGTCGGATAGGTATTTAGTGTAACTAGTTTGAGAGTAGGTAGAAACGGGTAATTATTTTATAGTAGGTAGGTATATAGCATAAATTGCTCCAAATTAAAACTGGCATAGTTGTGCAGGCAATTGCATTGAGACGTAGTGCAGATACTACTCGAACAAATTAACATACTCCACAAATTAAACATGTTACTGATGATAGGCTATAATTGCATATTTTAGTCGCTTATTACACTCTAATTTACTGTACTTTAGTTGAGTTTGCGCTTTAATCGCTAGTGTTTTTCACTAACGGTGTGTTTTATGCCTTGTAGGAGTGATTTCGAGCTATATAGATGTTATGGAATGAATTCAAGTGATTTGGAGCTTTGAAATCTGAGTAAAAGCCCAAGGAATTAAGCCGGGATCGTATTCGGGGGTCAAATTTGATAATTAAGTACGAACGAAGACTCGAGGAGGCATATTGCGCACTGTCTAGTAAAATAGACATAACTTTTTGCTTAGAACTCCATTTGGACTCACAATATATGGTTGAAAAGCTAACTCAAAGGGCTACAACTTTCATGTTTTATATTTTTCCAAACTCCAAACGGAAAAGGGTGAAAAACGCGGTCGAAATCGCGACCGCGGAACTGACCGAGGCAGGAAATCAGAGAGCTTGTTTGGCGCGGTCCTACCGCGTTTTGGCCGCGACCGCGCTGCTCCAGGCGTCAAAAAGAAGTCCTATTTCGTCCGGAACGAGGTTATTTCGGCCCTACACTATTCCAACTTGTATAAAAGGGGTCCTAAACCTATTTTGAAGGGAGTTGGACATACTTTTGACATAATTTAGACCTTAGGAGGCTAAGGAGACCGGAGATTCGACCTAAGGAGTCAAGAACACAATAGGAGCAAGGCGCGAAATTCTTCAACGAGTTTTTCCTTCTTCCTCCTATTTTTTCATTGTTGGTTATGCTTTTTAGTATTGTAGTTTTACATACTATTATGAATAGCTAATTCGTTTTCTAGGGTTTTGATAGAACCTTTTGGGGATGAATTGGTTGTTATATTAATATAGTTTTGAATTAGTTGTTTATCTCTATTTGTTCAACTACGTTTTGATTTTGGTTTATTGAAAGGATCCTCAATTAGTTGTTCCTATTTATTATGTATCTGCTTGAGAGAGAGTGCATATTTAGGTAGTTGTTTGAACAACATCACTCCCAGAGTATAGGCGAGAGTCATAACCGAGGGTTTAGAGGTTTGATTAGAGATAACGATACCTCGGGTGCGATCTAAGTGAACTGTAATGTGAATCTAGCTAGCGTAGCTTGAGAGAGTGCGTCTAGTAAATTATCATAATTGCTTGAGAGAGATTTATGATATCTGGAGAGTTCATGATTGATAGAGGCAACTAAGTCAAAGCTATAAGAAACATACAACTAATGAAATCAACAATTGGGGAAATCATAACTCTAGACCTCCTTAATTTAGTCTCCAACCCTTTGTCTCGTTAGTTGATAAATTTACCGCTTTGTAGTATTTGCTAGTTAATTAGTTAGAAATATAAATCTCAATCTTTATAATTTAGGAAATTGTTCAAACTTGTCTTCTTAGTGATATTAAACAGATATAGCTAAGCCTTAGTTCTCTGTGGGATTCGACTCCGGACTTTTAAACCGGATTATATTTGCAGCGACTGCTTATCCTTTTTAGGACTAGAGTTGGGCGTGATCAAATTTTGGCGCCGTTGCCGGGGAACTAACGGTGTAGTTTTAGCTGTATATATTGTTAGGGTTCAAGTTTGAACTTTTATTTTGTTTTATTTTTATTTTTTATTTTTTTATAACTGTTGATTTGAGAAACATGACATCTTGGAATTATGGGAATTTAGGTGTAGATAATTCTACTATTGATCTCCATACATATTGTGAAGGAAACCACCTGTGGAAAAATTTTCAAAACGTTCCTGAGAGAGAGTTATGTGCACCAACTCAATCTTATTTGTGGAATGTGTGTGGTGTGTGTGGTGGTAAAAATGGTCACCTTCATGGTTGTGCTTATATTTCTTATTTTCCCCCAACCCCTTACTATGATGGTTCTACCTTTTC